AGCCGTGTGCATGAGATGAATAAATAGATGCATTTCATTTCATTTATTCAAAAATGAGTTATATTAAACACGAGTACAAATATACCAGTTTCGTTATTATTGCTGATCTCAGTGTTTAAGGCTGTTCATTAGTGAAGTTCGTTTTGCGCCTCTCTTTGTTGGACTGAAAATCTCTTAGTTCAGTTAGCACACCTTATTTGAACGAGTCAAGCGAATGAGCAAACAATTGGCCAACCAACCAACTAGAAAATCAAGCCGCTAAACAATCGTTGGGCCATCCATCCTTTCTATCGCCCACTGAAACATCGTTGAAATCAATCAAACTAACAGTACAAAACAATTTACATTACATCACGTAGCAAACAAACCGACCCTGAACCATCGAAAACACATCCCAAACTGCTGCAACTGACTTTTCACCAAACCACTTAACGAGCAAAAACATAAAAACAACTCAATGGTTAACCTTGGAGTTCGTGCTAACCTCTTCCTCTTCCTACCTCGCCCAACAACACAACAGATAATTTTTTAATTAAATGTTTTACGGAAACTGTACGATTGACTTATAAATAGAATCTTGTGCGTCAAGGTCAGCCCGTTACGAAAAAGCGTCATAGTCTACCGTTAAAAATAAACTGTGAAGGAGTTTTTCTAGAGAGTCAATTAACCCTAACCCTTTTGTTCTTTTACTATCAACTACACTTGAGTCAGTGATTTTGATAATAAACAGACTATATACCACTGGACTCTAAGGTTATATGATGACTTTATTTACCCTTCAAGTGGACTCAAGTATAAAATTAGTTATGTTGAAACTCGAAACTACTCGATCGACGTAGTTGCCAAAAGGTCGTCACTGAAACCAAATCTTTGTAAAGCCAACGATAAGTGAACATGTTAAATTATATCAAACACCTTTGTATGCCGGCGAACATCTCCGATATGCACTGAAAATCGACGGCATTGTAATGTAGCGTAACTAGAAGATATTGACAAGTTTAGCAGCCTCCTAACCTAACTTAAGAGAATACATTCGAGCGATCAAATCGCAGACATAAACTACCGCAATAGAAAACAACAAAGAGAACGAACTTGAGCGACTTAAAGAACAAAGATCGTTTTAGTGAACCAAAAATTTTAACTCTAAAGCCATCTATAAAAATTTGTGAAAAACACCAGGCTTCCAAAGGCTCTAAAGCAACGAAATGAGAACTAAACACCTTCCTAAATACCACTGGTCCACCGAAAATAGACCGGTAAACCTTTCAAGGGGGTATGTTTCTAAATAAAACTGTGGTGCTGCGTCAGAGAGGGGTATCAGAAGATAATTTAGTTTTTTATCAGCTAAGTTGATGCTTGTAAATTTGCGACCGTAAAAAGTTTCCAAAGCTGGCGTTAGTTCTTCGTCAGAGCGAAAGATAAACCGATTAGTCATGGCAATCTGTTTGACCTTGACTCGATTTAATGACCACTTAAGGATTAGTTTACGACTGAAACTAAAAAAATAAAACAGGCCTTTCTGGGAATAGATGTTGTTATTTTAGCACAGAGATAATAAGAGCTATTTTTAAATTTCCTCGCTTGGGGCGGCCATAAAGAGTTATTTTTATATCGCTGCATTAGTTCCTGTAGTCTTGAGAAAAAGAAGTTCTCAAAATTAAGAGCGCCCTGGAGCATCTGTTCAAAGTTGGGATCGTAGAATTGAATTTTGAGCAATAAAAGTTTTATTCGTAGAGTGGTACTAATTTTGGCCGCCTTGTGATGCTTGGGATATAAAAGATAACCAAATTCGGCAAGAGAAGCGATTTCTCTTCACCTGCTGTTGCTGTTCTGTGATGTTCAGCTTGGAAAGATATCATTAAATCTCCACTTTGATAAGTTGCTTGAAAGTATCTCTTTTCATCAAGGAATAGAGGGAAGGATGTATTGGATTCACATATCCTGAATAAGCTTTCTAATGCAACGAATAAAATACTATTAATCAGTAGCCCTAGGAGACTATTTTTCCAATTTGAAGCCCTCTCACTGTAATATATTTGACGGCAATGACTAAGAGGACAAGAAAGAAAGATAAAGCTGAATTATGCATGCAACCCTCTTATCGAAAACGAAAGCTTGGAGGAAAAGATACTTGCTTCATTGTTAGTGGCAGCTTTAAGTTCGGTTTTTATTTTTGTATCTTGAGCCTCAATTTTCATTCTTTACCGGTTTGACTACGTGCCCTTCTTCCACGCTTTTTTTTCAATTTAAATTAGTCTTTTTCTTGGTAGATTCATTCCAATTAGATCTTAGCATTTTGACTTGTTTTGAAAAGAAAAAAGAGTAACTGAATATTACTAAAACGTCAAAGGTCGCTTGTTTAAACAAAGCTTAACCCTTGGGCAAAACCGCACATTAATCATTACCAATTTTGGCCCAACGTTTCAAGTAAACATTGATTTTGGAGAATGATGTTGAGAGGTCTTGTTTCTAACACTTGAACAATGCTAATTTACCCTTTTAAAAAACCCCTTACTAAAATCGAGGCATATTGATCATCTAAAACTGCGGCCTACGTTAGACATCCATTGATCAATAGGCCCTAAAAATCAATAAGGTTTGAATTTTCTCGAAAAAACTTCACTTGTCTACTGCCAGGGATCGTAATTCAGTTTAAGAAATTATGACACACTTAGCTTTGAGTGAACTTTTGTTTTAATTTTCTTTTTCAACTGAATGAAGAATAAAGAATGTTAAAAGTTCTATCAAAGAAAGTCTTACCTGGGGAAATATTCGAATCATTTGCATAGCCTCCAAATCTCTCTTAAAGTAAACATGGATATCAATGACTAACCCTGTCCTCGGATATCATATGGTTCTCGAAGTTTAATGTTTTTCTCGAACTTCACTGCTTTAGGCCTGTTTAGTTTGTGAAAAAACGGTCTAGCTGAATTTCTGTTCCTTTACAAAAAGGGTGAAGTTTGGTCTTTGTGTTCGCTTCTGATAAAACAATTTCTACCTCAGCACCCAATCTTCGGTCTTCCAGATTGTCCCATAAGAATGAACCTGAAAGAAATAACAAAGATAAGAAAGAACCTGAGGTTATAAACAACTTACGGAATAACGTAATTCATTACGTTGTTAGTCTAGGAAGTATATAGAAAAACTGGTTATTATTATCTTCAAACAAACGTGACGTCATCTACGACACAAAAACATGGTTACTCAGCTCTAAATAGCAACCAGGTTTTATTCCTTTGCCTCTAAATTCCTTGCATTGCTGTTACGCTTATCTAAAAAGAGGAAAACGCGTTTTCATCGGCCTGATACTAGAATCGCTTCAAGGCAAACACAACGTAGTTTATTTAATATAGATTCTAGTTTGGATTTGCAAAATTTTAAAAAGTATCATTAGCTTCTTTCAAGCCTCAAGTGAATAAATGTTTCTGACATGTTTACCTCCACTTGCAACATGAATACTCTAGACGGTTCACATTGACATTAGGAAGGATTATAGGTCAGCCAGCTTATGTATTCGCGTTATTTTCATAACATTTGCGTTGTTATGGTTTATTTGTGGTCGCGCTGTGGGCGAGAGATTGGCTGGTTGTGATAGAAATTTTAAAGTTGCAAACAAATAAAAAATGTATATGCGTAAGGAAAAAAAATCCAAAGGCTTCAAAATACAAAGTACTAAAAATGTCATATAGATGTATTTTGTATGATCAGAGGAACGTCTGTCTAGACACTAGTGCTTATTTACAAATATATGTACGTTTTACCCCAGATGGTCCAGTTGTGTTAAGGGTGGATAGTGCTTTCCAGCGATTAAGTGATGGCAAAACGTGAAGCGTTATGCAAGGGTTGCATAACGCTTTCCATCGGATATAGACTTATCTAGTGGATAGCATTATGCAACCCTTGCACAGCTAGGGCAGTCGTACAGATTGCTGCTCATTCATTCACATTTAAAATTTGCATTTCTCTCAACAGAAAAAAAATAATAAGGGGGTAAGTTACTATAGAAACTGTGGTGCTACGTCGGTGAAGGAGTATAACTAGATAATTTTGATTTTATCAACTGAGTTGATAATGTAAATAAGCCACCCTAAAGATTTTCAGAGCTGACGTTTTGAGCGTTAGCCCATCTCCGGCCCTTCGCTCTGACGAAGGGCTAACACTCGAAACGTCAGCCTTGATCTCTTTACGGTGGCCAATTTTCATTAAGAATTAAGTTAATAAAACTAAAAGAAAAAAGGAATGCCAGAGTGGACGAGACTCCTAAAGATTACCAAATGAAGGATGCCTCTTTAGGTGTTCGTGTAAAAGTCCTACATATTTTAGTATTTCGTGGTTTTGTTATTTTTCTCTTACATATCACGTCAGTGTTAAGCTGTGGGCATTTTGGGTCACTCATGCCTTCACACTCTCCATTACTGCAGGTCAACTGAAACCCACATTTTGAGACTGATCCCTAATTGAGGCTGATTTACGCATGAACTGAGCAATCTAAAAAATAACTCCCCACTTCCCTGAAATCTTCCTTCGACATTTGTTAACTCAAATACGGCATACAATAGTGCCTTTCCACATTAAATAATTAAACCAGAATACCCCGTGCAAATGGAGAGAACTTCTCTCTCCGATCTGACCAACACTTCAAAATACTCCATAATCTGAATGAAGAATGGCAATGAATCATGACTGAGGCAAATTTTTTATTCAATTTTTCATAAAAGTTAATCAGATAATGTAATCTTCAGAATTATTTTACTTGATATTTATACACATACATAAAATATAAATTTGGATAAACTTCTTCATTTTTTTCCCTTTTTACAATTGTGGCTATAAAAAAATATATTCTTATTATTTTACTCGCTTTTGATTACTTCTGTTTATAGTACATGAAAATAAGCATTTGTTATAGCATAATGATAGAGAAAAAACTATGCAATGCATGCGCGTAAGTACTATAAGTAAGCTTTGAATAATTTCTTTTAAACATCTATAACTCTAACTTAAAATCCGTCTTGGCTCTGATTTGGTGAGGCACAGCTTCCACTAAATTCACTGGTTGTTTCAAAATCCATTGATTGAGCCATTTGATCACTTTCCTTATCGCTCACATTTTTGTTCTTCAGTGGGTTCTTCCTTTCCAATTGACTCCTTTTTTCCTTCAAATGATTTCTTTGATAATCACTGGAAATTGTCCACATTGACTTGTATGGTCGCTTAGGGTCTGGAACACGAACGAATCGCTTTCTGAGTGACAAAGTGTGACGAACAGCATTCTGTTGGCAAAGAAAGAAATTGTGGTTAGTATATTTCACAATGACCTCAGTAAAGCACCAATAAAGCACTTCGATTATGTGCTTAAACGAGAAAAAGAAAGCTTCTGACGATGGATAACCACACGTTCACTGCTGAGAATTGATTTTGGTTTTAAAAGAAGTAAATCCCTTATCGAGTCGAGATGCACCCAAGATTTGTCTGAATAATAATAGTAGGGAATAATTTCCATTGATTTGAAATGAGCGACACATTAGTTATCATAAGAGGTCGAAATAAGTGCAGGAACTGTTGCCTCGTCGTTGTGAGATTGGGTGCTGTTCAAAAGTTCCTCTTTGATCTGTTCTCATTGAGTCAGCAGTATTCCTTTTGTCTATTTTGAAAACCAAAGAGGCTAAATCATCAGTAAACGTATTCCCAGATCGTCCATCATAAAAAGCATATTTCGCGATTTTCCGCGATATGTGCTTCCATTAAAAAATGTCGCACTCAATGTATCAGTACCAGTTTAGATGGAAAAAAAAGTTTTTGCTTTCTTAGAGATTAGAAAAGCTTCAGCTTTTTTCTTCCGTTCTCCTTACAATGCGAACAGACTGTTTATCAGCCAGAAACAAAAAAAGAGGAAAATCAATCTGCCAGGAAACAATCTGCGGTTTCCAAGCACCATAGAACAATGCCGTCAGTTGAACAAAAGTAATTCCTAAACATTTTCGAGTACTGAACTTGTAAATCCTTCATATTGGTAAATATAGCAAATTCATGTTTTATTTAGAGTGTCAAGAACTGAAAAGAAAATAGCCGGCTTACTTAAGCAAATATCTGTTTCCTTTTTTAGTATTGAGAGACAGCTGAACACAGGAAGACTTTCAGTTGGGACATAAATACACACTGAGGGAGGTTTATGGAAATTTTCCGGAAACATTATATCCAATGAGGACCAACTCTAAGACCACGAGAGACCCACAACCTGTTTGCAAGAGGTTTAAACTGGGTTTAATTTCAGGTTTAAAACATCAAGTTATCCTGCTTGGGTAGGATAACTTGGTGATAATATGCTTTAATAACTGATGACTTATTTTTTGCTTGACCTTGCTACGATTTCAGTTCAAAACTGCTTTTTTACCGTCACGGATGGTCCTCTTCTTCAGATATTCGAGTCATATCGTGGCCACCAAATTTAATAGATAGAAGATAGGCATGATATTAAATCGAGAGGTGGCAGACATTCGCTTTAGTCTTGATCTAAACGTTAAAAAACGCCACTTATTGGGAAATTTATGTGAAAACATCTCTTGCACGAAAAACAAGGGATATTGTATCCTCAGGTCCTAATTGACAGTGACTAGCCTAGAACATATCTCCGGCGGTTTGCTAAGCAATCGTTGCGTGAAATTGAATTTGTCTTAGCCATGTTATAAATGTGTTACATTTTGAACTATCTTTTGCTTCCACATATCTGTCAGTAGTGTACTTTTGTTCCAAACTTTTATTTTTTTTCTTTAGATTCATTCAGATTTGAATGATAGTAACCATGTTATACGGGTACTCCCTAAATAGCATCTCTTATACACACTTTAACAAACGCCGCATTCTTTCGAGTTTTATGATACCTTAATGATACTCTGACAGAAGGAAAAAGTACGCTCTTTCGGAAGCAAACACATCCAAGACAAAAGCTTTTTGTAAAATTGAAGAGGATATCGAAGTTTTTAACGGCATCGACAATACGAAGTCTCTTTTATAATCTACCAGTGGTCTACTCGATCTCTTGCATCTCTCTCTGTCTTATAATGTTTGTAAAAAAAACTGTTTGTTAAGTACATTTGGTAATTTATTTTCACAGAATTGAAGCCTTAATTATAATAGGTTTCCATTTCAAAGGACATATGAAAAGGGCAATAGCTGCAAGACTAGCTAAACATGCAGAAGCAACCGCGAATGGAAGCGCCAATGAATACATCAAAGCGTCAGTGGATAGGCATAGCAACTTGACTGATTTTTAGCTTACCTTCCATCCTTGAACTGATAAATAAGTCCCCTTGTCGTTGAAATATGGTACATTCTTGACAATCCAACTGTAAATATCTGACAAAGTCATCATGTTATTGTTTGTGGATGTGATGGCCATTGTGATCAAGTCGGAATAGGAGGCCCTTCCCCAGGGGTTCTGCTGTTGTGTACGCGACTTTGTAACAGGTGTATGTGCTCCTGCTGCGGTCTGTGTCTCAGGGAACTGCGCCAATAAGTCATCTCGACTGCTGTTTGAACCGGAAGAGGCAAACGAACGCGGTGATTCTAAACTCTCAATTTCATCTTCTTCATTGCATTCACCCCTCCTTGCAGGCATCTCCACCTCTTGTGCTGCTTCAACTTTCTGTGCCGTACTTTCTGTATCACTTTGTCTTGGCGGAGCGCTGCATGTTGTTAACAGTAGATCATCACGATAATCTCTAGACCATCTGTACTTTTGGTGTGAGGGAAGCAGTGGTGGTCTCCACGTTATGTAATTTGGCGCAGCCGCGGGCATGATAACACGGTCTGCTCTACAAACCACACATTCAAGTTCTCCGTCGATCGTATTCCGTGACTCAACGATGCCAGTGTCCGTGCAAACAGTTCGAGGATCGTGATTTCCTAAAGAAGTGCTTGGATAGTGTATCTCAGTCCGGGGTTTAATTCCATTTCGAATGGATTTGTTCACTGAGTCTGGCACTTGTATGAACATATTTGGATTCTTCTTTGGTTGAGTACTAGTTGATCACACGAACGCTTCGGACATGTGTTCGGACTGAAAGCTCGGGAGACTGATATAGTTTTATTTTCATCGACGATTATTACCGGAAACACTTATGTCGTCAAACGAGTCGCTCCGACGTTACTCCGACTGTTGATGACGTCAGTAGAACTGTTCATTGAAATGAAAGAATGAATGTCACGGCTGGGTAAACACCAGACATAGCCAAAAGTATTTGTTTTGGAGATTTTGTTTATGTTTTCGGAAAAATTACTAGCATTTTCTGAAAGCTCTCAATATTTCCTACATAATCACCTAATTTTGTTAAGAATGAAGGTCATTTTTGACTGTTTAGGAAGTGAGAATTTAATGGCGTGTGACCAGCGTTTCACTTAGTAACAGCATCTCCCGTAAACATTTACATACTTTCGTGTGAGATGCTGCTAGGGTGGCTGTGTTATGGTTATCTGATATTTTAACCAACAAGAACTATAATCTGGTAGAAAATTTTTTAAGACTTAAAAGTTGTGACTTGAGTGGAAGTCTAAAACTAAATATTTACTAGTCGTTCAAAATTACACGATCCGTTTACAACGAATATAAATTGTTCGTGGAGTGACGAAAGAAATCCGCCCGCGCAATGATGCGTCAATAAGCACTATTGTCACAAAAGAACAGAGAAACTGATTTAAACGAAGTGAGATTGAAAACGAAACAACCATAGCATCTTGCTGTCATAATTTATTGACGCTCGAGAGATTTGATAAAAGGATTTTCTCCTTAAAGAATTGATATTAAAATGAAAACGAGGAAAGATTTCATTTAAATGACACTGACCGACCTTTGAGACGGCAAACAGATTAAACGGTTGTTTGTAATTTATTGTGCCTCTTTTCAAAGTATTCATTGTGGTGAATATAAATCATCAACCTCATTTTAAAATTGCTCAGTAACATGTGAAAATTAGAAGAAATTAAGTTTAGAAACTCTATCCTGACTATCAATGTTGAGTCATAACATTGTAACTAAACTTTTTGTCGAACAAGTTATCCGCGAACTTTGATCGAATAGAGCAAGTCTTTTACGGTCCATAAACATCATAGTTGACTTGTTTTATTCTTTCGTATAAGAAATGAGAAGAGCTGAGATGAAAATGACTTGTCCTAATAACCCAAATGTGGATTATACGAACCACAATTCCAGTACGTAAACAGAAAGGCTCGCATGACTCAAACGCTACTTAGCATACATTACTTGCCACACAATTGTCGAATCACATAAGACTTGTCAGATTTAATCACGAGATACACTATTAAAAAGGAAACAGTCAGGGCCGTATTCTTTGGTGATGTAATAAAGGAGAACTGCATGCATGAAGCATTTTCAGTGACCATCCATTAAGTTTACCGGTAATCAACAGGGTACAAAAGTTACAAGAAAAGATACCCTTCGTTGAATAGACGACAAGAGGAAAAGTAATTGCTATTTTTTGGCCATTTCTGACTCAGTGTTAATTAAGCGGGTGTAAGCAATTGTTTTGGTGGTTCCTTTTGTCTTAAATTTTATCTGAATAATGTCGGTAATCGATGATAGCTCATCTTTTTCAAAGAGGTGTCCTCTCTTGGCACACCGATGACTGTCTATATCTGACGAGTCTCCTTACAAATTAAATTTAAAATAAGCTTATTTGGAAAGGGCGAAGTGTCAATAGTTTGTCAAAATTATCAATTAGGGCTCTTTGTACATGTGACAAATAGGGCAGCTTGAATCAGTTTTTTGAACTCGCTCCAGTGTTGAAAAATAGAAATAGAATTATGAAGCAGCGGTTTTCAGAAGGTTAAGGAGCACTGAATTAGGCCGGGTAAGAGGCTTTTTTTATCGTTTGCGGCATAAGAACTGAATCAAAATACATTTGAAATAAATGATCGTTTCGCAAACAACATTCCTTTCCTCTAGACATCCGTTTTGAGTCACGTACTATTTACAAATTTTAACAAAGGTTCAAAATCCTTATCAAGCGAATGAAATGTACACAGATGGTTAGTCGTTTGCGTGCAGATTACGAGCCACGTTTGTAACTGTGTCAGGATCATTTCCGTTGCTTTCAAATCTTCGTTCCGCTATTGCGAAACTGTGTGACACACAAGCACGCCTCAAAGCGCCTCAAGTACCACGTGAAAGTCACTACCGGGTGATATTATTTACTCTGATCTTTATCTTCAGGTGAATAACATTGATTCACTTTATTTCTCGGTTAATAAATTGCATGAGTAACATTTGTCGTAAAACTTCCTCGACACCTCTTAAATCATTTGACTTCTATGGAAACAAAATAACATTTGTATCATTTCAAATGACTTATACAGTTTTATGATCAGCTTGTAATTACATCAACATGGAGGTTCTCTTCCTTTTCCTCCTCACGTTCCCAATGTAATTTAGCACCTATTTCTGGCTTTACCTATCATATAAGTCTTACATACTTCCTATGCTTATAATGATGTTGTCCTCTTACAGTGATAGACAAGGATCCTCTTAAGTCCACGTAAACTATTTTAATTTGATTGGAAAACACATGATAAACTATTTTTTTTAGCACTTCCACTGCTTCACTGAATTTTCCAGTTCAGACTCGATGGTATACATCCATCAGTTGCTTTAACTTTGCATTTCACAGAAAAATCTCGGAGTCATCAGGTAAGGATTTTGCATGCTTTTATGACATTTTGTGGCATCACAGGTCAGTTATTCAAGACAAATTTTGTTAGTTAATATCTTATTATTACTCGACTTTGAAAGTATTAGGCAAGGTTTATAGATGTGAGGATGCAATCAGAGACGATTGGTTTTATTTAATACATGCAAGTTAGCTCGGAGAAAAAAACTCTCGGACAGTGAGGTTCACTGTTCAAAACACAGGTTAAGGATAAGATAATTATATAAACTGATTAGTGTTGTTAAGAATTCAGTTTAGGGGAAAGAAATAAAGATGTCATTGTAGGGCTTCATTTACTCATACCAAGAGTTATTTGTTTAATTTTGCTTTATCAAATTGTTTTTACAAATGATAGTCATAGATCACATTTAACAACCAGGGTAGTCCAAAAGCCACAGCTTTTGTTCATCATTTTGTGGTAAGACACGATAAGTACCTGTTGAACTTTGAAATCTTTCGGTGAAATAAATTTATACTATTTTGTTTAGTATAGAGATGGACAGTCCTGAGTTAAAATTCATGTCAGAGGGAAAATTTGAGATTTGTAGCGAGCTTAAGAACCATAGCTTACATCTTTTATGCATTATGTTTAAACGGATTAAATGTAAATCTTATCTGAACTATAGAAATACAGATTTGCAAGAGTAATTCAAAGGGCATAGTTTTTACATGCTTATGTTTTCTATTCATGTTCCCTAACTGACGATTAGAACACAGAAAAAGTAGAACAACTAGCTTAAAATCGGTACATGAGAGAACTCTTTCAAGGATTATTTTGCTTAAACAGATTTTTTACATAAACTTTCATTCAAATTTGCATGGGAAAGCAATCAAATCTTTGATAAATGTTGGGCAATTTCCTGTAAAAACAACTTGCTCAACTTATGTGCAAATCAAACGTAATATTTAGCTGGCTGCTGATTGTTTTTCCGGCCTAGAGTCGAGCAAAATGGCCACAAACTATATAGCTAGAAACAGTTGCCACAGTATGTACAGGTGGTTAACAACGAAGAGTATGGTATCGTTCTCTCGCCGTGTTGACGGCCACATCGCCTCCTTGATGAGACACGAGAAGTCCATCGTTACATATGTAGTAACTTTCTTCTTATCTAAGTTTGACAACCAACGAGCTAAGTGGAATAAAACTTATGACCAAGTCTAATTATTGAGAGAAACTCCAAAGGTTATTTTTAAGATCATACATTTATTATGATTTGATTATTGATTTTGCACTGCTAATTTTAAGGATTAAAATAACATCTCAGGGACATAAACGAACTGGAAACGCAATTAAAAGGAAAACTGATTGAATTGCAGTTTTTACTTATTTAGAACTTTTCTGGGCGTGAAGATACCTTGTTGGTTATAACATTTCAGGGATCAGAGAGTGAACAACTAGAGATGAGTCCTGTTGTTTATGTGTAAGCAACTCGGTAGATAAGTTCATAAAAATAATTTTATTTTCATGAACAGTGTAACAACACAGATAAAGCTTAAAATATCGACACATCAATAGCCATGGGAACTCATTCCAAAAATGGCTAAACATTCCCTCAATTAAACTCAACTATATTACAGTTTGATGGTTCAGAATATAGTTCGGCTGCTAGCTTTGGATAAGACGTAATAACGTTCATTTAGGAAGTTACGCAAGTTGCAATTGTCCTTTTTAATTCAGCAATTATCTGACGTAATCAAACTATGGAGTAAAACTTGTTACTGTGATGGTGTCACTAACAATCACAGATATTTTCTGTGGATCCTAATTTGGTTGCAAACTCTTTCAAGAGGAACTGACACCATATTACAATTTAGCTGCGTAGAATCTATAGGCAATAATCAGTCAGCCGGCTATCCCTGTTTAATTTGTAAAAACTGATTGACGAACCTTATCGTATTCCATGTACACCATCGAAAACCGCCATTGCCGATCAAAATTTTGGGGTTTTTCCGGCGATCATTATCTTTGTACGATTTTCCTTCGTTACTTTTCCTCCAATATTATATAGGTTAATAACACAATTACTATTAGGATGTCACATAAAACTTTACTGATGTCACTCATACAACTCATTCTTCTACACACTGTCTTAGATTTTTCATCGTTGAACAATTATTCACAACTCATGTTTGAATTTTTTACGATTAAGTCATCGCTACAAGGAAAAAGTATATTTTTAGTGATACTTCTTAGCTCACGCATTTCGAACCCAAATTACACACAAAGATCGGCTTCGACAGGAACACATAAGCCAGATCTCTTCATGCTCTCAAG